GCTGCCACAATTAGACAGACGGAAAGCGCAAGGACATGTTTTTCTTGCATCTGTAGTGGAAACCTTAGCAGCAGATAGCAACTGCTCCAGGTCTGTCAAATAGATGCAAGGATATGTGTTTTTTTTTTCAAAAAGCATGTGAGTACTTAATTTTGTTAAGTGGCTTGAAGATACTGTCTCAAATTTTATTTCTGTCACTAATTTTCTTTCTCTTTCTTAATGACCTTTGAGTCATATGATTTTCGTTTTTCACAGAATTCTGCTTCTCTGATTCAGTGCCACCTATTCCCAGGACCCTTGCTTGATAACTCAAGATTACAGGCGAATGTCTCCTTTATCCATCCTGCTTACAACTGACCATACATTATTGTAGCGTTGAGAAGTTTATGCAACACTCCGTGTTGGGCTATGTAAGGCTACAGCATTAGTGAGGTATCATCCCTGTTCTTAGGAGTTAATCTAGTGGGAGAGACAGACAACTAATTACATTACAATGCAGGAAGAAAAAAGTGCTGTGGTTAAAGTCTGAAAAACATGCTGTGGTTGCAGAGTGAGAGGAGTAATTAATTCTAACTGGCAGGATAAAGAATAAAGAAGGAAAGACACTAATATCTGTTGAGGGCTTAAAAGGTGCCAAGGGCAGAGCCGGAGCTTTCTGGAGGCTTTGAGAGGAAGTTCCCTTTACACAGAGCCAGGGGGAGTTTGGGGCTATGCTGGGAGGCCGTGGGGTCAAGAGGCAAGAAGATGGTGGGAAAACGACCTTCCTTTCTCTTCCTGGGGGGATGAGGACTTGAGAAGGCTCAGCTGGAAATCAGGTTGGTAAGGGAAAACTGGTTTCAGTTCAAGTGAGGAGGTGGAGGGAGAATTTAGGCACAGACAAAGATTGTAAGAACAGGCTTCAGTGTGAATGGTGGGCAAAGAAGAGGAGTTAGAGGAAAAGGAGAAGGGAGATCTGCACGTTGGTGAGGAATTGGGTGGGGAAGAGAATGGGGATGATGATGATAACGGCCTTGTAGGGTGGTTTTGAAGCTTAAACAAGACAATAAATGGGAAGTTTTAGTGCCTAGCACATGACAAATACTCAAAAAAAAAAGTTAATTTTTCTTTTTCTCTTCTTTTCCATTATTATTAGCTGAACCAATAATGACACTGCAAGCAGTTGTATCATTAGATTTCTTGTATTACGGCATGCTGGGTTTTTCTCACATTTTCAATGAGTTGGAAGCTTTTATGGACTATATTTTATATACATAGAAACTAAAACAAAGAATATAAGGAGTGGATTTTTATCCTATAAGAATAAAACATTTTCTGCGTGTAAAACGTAAAATTCCAGAATTTCATGCTCTTTTCTTTGGCTAATCATATTGTTTCATAATGTATATTCTACTTTGCAGAAAATATAGTGGTAATACATTGTCCTTAAATAATATAAAAGGGAGGTCTGTATTTGTGTTGGTGGGCATAAATTGTGGGAGAAGGAGACAGCAGGGATTTGGGTGTGGGCTGTGAGTTGTGGTGTCTGTTCAGTGGGGAGAATTATTCAGTCCCAAAGTGTCGAAGGGCCGAGGAATGTATCAGCTTACTCTGCCCTCTTGGTGCTTAGAGCCCCACTCTGCTGGCAGGTGTTGGCTGATCCCTATAGGAAAAGGGAACAAGTATCAATCTGCTTCTTGGCCATCTCAAGGTGACTGAACTGTCACTATCTTGATTTTCACAATATCATAATTGATTCATGGCAAGCAAGAGGGTAAATTTCAGCAGTCAAGAGACTAGTTATGGGATTTACAGTGCTGCAGAAATTTAACCTGAAAATTATCCACGCAGTTACAGAAAGAAGGTTAGAGCCATTTAAGAATTTATGATCAAGAATTATTTCTAATGCCATAATTTTATGCAAGAAAACTGTCAATTGATTAACTTCTACTGTAATTTGTTAGCTGCTCATTATACTTTCCTGTTTTGACTAATGAAAACATTTAGAGCTGCAACTTTATGGACACTAAGTAGGCCAGGCAGCTTGTCTGTCTTAGAATAATTAGAGAATTTCACATTGTTAGCCAGTGGGATACCTACCTCTCGTGGTGCATCTTTACAGAATGTGTTTCCTATTTTCTCTTCCCTCATTAGTGTCTGTTATGGAACAAAGCCCAACTCCCTAGAATATCACTATAAAGCAATTTACAAACATTTATGGGGCTTATCTAGCTGATTTAAACTATTATTAACTTACTAACTACAGTGGTAAGAAGATAAATTGTGTTCCCATGTAAGATGACTTAGGAGAACTCATAATATTAGGGCTTAAAAACATTTTCCTAACTTACAAGAAGGGCTTATCTAGGAAAAGCAAATCTGGTAAATATACCCCCTGTCCTGTGCCTGTGTTATACATGTACACATATATGCATATCTACGATGCCACTCTTTCCCTTTGAGCCTATCTATGGCTTCGGAATCCTTTGAACACAGTACTGTAAACAGAAAGAGATGGGTAATTGCTCTGACTAGACCATAAAGCCATTATGGCAGGTACCAGGTCACAATTCAGGACTTGACATGTATTATATACAGAGAGAGAGAGAGAGAGAAAGAGAAAGAAAGTCTAGCTGTCTCCCAGGCAGAAGTGCAATGGTATGATTTTGGCTAACTGCAACCTCCGTCTCCCTGGTTCAAGTGATTCTCCTACCTCAGCCTCCCAAGTAGCTGGATTTACAAATGCCCACCATCATGCCTGGCTAATTTTTATATTTTTAGTAGAGACAGTGTTTCTTCATGTTGACCAGGCTGGTCTTGAACTCCTGACCTCAAGTGATCTGCCCATCTCGACCTCCCAAAGTGTGGGATTGCAGACATGAGCCACCGTGCTCTATTAGGTTCTTCATAAATGGTTTTTTGAATTAAGGATACATAGATGGATGAATGAAAGCATGAATGAAATGTTATTTTTTTTTCTCTAATGGGTGCAGGAACTCCCACAGATGCTCTTCTCTGTGCTGTACTATGCCTCTAGTGAACACCAGCTCAGAATGTTAGAGCTGGAAGAGACTCTAGAGAAGATGTAATGGCAACTTTTTAGTTTACAGAAATAAAGTGCAATGGGGACATCCATCTAAAGTGCAGTGAGATGGTTTGACAGTGTCCCCACCCAAATCTCATCTTGAATTGTAATTCCCACATGTCAAGGGTTTGGCCAGGTGAAGATAATGGACTCATGGGGGTGGTTCCCCCTATACTGTTCTCCTGGTAGTGAATAAGTCTCATGAGATCTGATGGTTTTATAAATGGGAGTTCCCCTGCCCATGCTCTCTTGCCTACTGCCATGTAAAACATGACTTTGCTTCTCATTCGTTTTCTGTCATGATTTTCAGGCCTCTCCAGCTATATGAAACTGTGAGTCAATTAAGCCTCTTTCCTTTATAAATTGCCCAGTCTCAGGTATTCCTTTACTAGCAGTGTGAGAACAGACTAATATATGCAGTCTGTGAAGTTTGGGAGCATTCTGTTCTCTTCCATGTGTTACTAATTGTGTGACCTTTGGCATTTTGCTTTTTTTTTCTTTTTTGAGACAGGGTCTCATTCTGTTGCCCAGGCTGGGGTGCAGTTGCAGTCTTGGCTCACTACAACCTCTGTCCCCCAGGTTGAAGGGATCCTCCTACTTCAGCCTCCTGAGTAGCTGGGATCACAGGTGTGTGCCACCATGCTCAGATGAATATTTTTGGATTTTTACTAGACATGTCTCATCCTATTGCCCAGGCTAGTCTTGAACTCCCGATCTCAAGCCATCCACCCACCTCTGCCCCCCAAAGTGCAGGGATTACAGATGTGAGCCACTGTGCTCGGCTCTTTGCTTCTTTATCAGTCAAATTGACATAATATTATCTGCCTTGTAGGGTTGTTCTAAGGCTTAAACAAGACAATGAACAAAGTTTTAGCATCTGGCACACAAAGTTAATTTTTCTTTTTCTCCTCCTTTTCATTATTATTAGCCAAACCAGTAATGACATTGCAAGCAATTTTATCATGAGATTTATATTGTGTTACACTGTGTTTTTAATCACATTTTCAACAAGTTGGAAGCTTTTTTGAATCATCTCTTTCATATACGTAGAAACTAAGATGGAAAGAATATAAGAAATGGATTCCTATTATACAAGAATAAAACCTTTTCTGTATGTAAAACAAAATTCTAGAATTTCATGCTCTTTTGACTAATCATAATTGTTTTATAATTTATATCCTATGTAATGGTAAAAGTTATCCTTAAATAATACAAGATGTAGTTTAATAAAAAAAAGAGGGGAAAGAACTGTCCTTTTATTGAAAAAAATAACATTTCAACATTTACATTATATATTCAAACTTTTTCAGTCATTAGTTGGAGATGGGGGAGTACAGGGAAAGTTTTAGTTGGCTTTGTGTTGGTTGCCAGGAAACATACAAAGGGATCAGAACAGAGGAAACAAACTCCACATTGCTGGGAAGGTGGCCTTCAGTCAGGTGCTTCACTGGTAGGGAAACTTTGCAGCTTCGTCATCTAACTCTTCCAGACAAGAAAGTGGAGTTGAAAACTACAACGTGTTAGTGGAAGCAAAGTAAGCCAAAGATTTTTGGGAAGGTGCTTTTCGAATGCATTTAAAATGAGGAGTGGAAGTTGTTTTCTGTATCAGTTACTATAAATGTGGGGAAGCTTTACACATTTTTAATCAAGCCAGGTTAAACAGAGTCTAAGGAAGGGGTAAAAAAATGCCATTTTAAAACCACTCAACTGTAAATTTTGAAAATAAACTCTGGAATCAAATAAGCGAGGTGATTAGGGGCTTTCATTTCCTGCGTCAGCTTGAACATTTTGCCTCCTAATTGTATGCCTCGAAGGGTTTGTACCTTGATTTTGGAATTCTATTGCTAAGTTGAGTTTCTTTTCAAGGCACTTGTTGAAGAAAGAAAAAATCCAACCATATAGAAATAGTCGAAGGCTGCTGAGAAAAGGTGAAGCCATTATGAGTTGCCAGAAAGCTGCACTTGAGTTAAACACAGGGTCACAGCCTGGGCCAAAGAGCCCTGAGAGAACAGAGGGTGTAACTGCATGTGAAGATTATAGCACAAGCCTGCTTGAAAACCAACTCAGTGTGGGTGACTTTGTAAAAATACAGAAGGCCTTTGAGGTAAGTGTGAAGCTTATTGACCAGATAGTGTGAATTGTTCATGAAGGAGCCTAGAATGAAACATTTTTCTTTCAGCATTTAAAAAGTATAGCTAATGGTTATAGCAGAGAATTAAAAATAATTGTTTAGGTCTGGGTTTAACACAATGTGCTCGGTAACTTTGTCCCTCGGTTCTTTGGGCCAAATAATAGTCTTTAGTTTGAAATTGCTGCACTGAATTGTATTACTATCAAAAAAGAACTATATATTCTTGGGGAAAAAAGTTTTTAGAGATCAACATATTTTGGGGAAAAAAAATTATGGTGGTGAGTGAGCAAAGTCAGGTCTCTAAGGTGACCTCCAGGAATAATTGTTCTTGCATTTAATACGCACGTAGATTTCAGCCAATGCAAGTATGCATACACAGTTTGCAAAAACTTCTCGTCTCATGCCGCATGACACAGCTCCTTTCCTAAGCTGATTTTGGCACTTGTCCCAAGATTTCTTGTGAAGGACATAAAATTCCAGAAAAATGATGCACTCCCACTATTCTGTAAATCTTGAAGCAATGTGAGTAAAAACAACGTTAGAATTTTTCATTTTAACTCTACATTAAAAAAATCAACCATAGGAATTTAACTATAAGTGAATAATTTTCTTCTTTTTCTCTTAATTTGGAATTCTGCAGCTATGCATAATTAACAGTGTACATCAAAGTGATTTTTAGTTTTGAATATGGATAAAAAGTGCTCTTCCATGATGTAGAATTCAGGTAGTTATGCACTGTTAACGTTTCTACTACATTATGTTTGCTAAAATATGATCTTAGGGCTTCATAAAATCGTCCACGGATGCTTGGAGTATCCATATTAATTTGAAATAGAAAATATTTTGGAATACCACCTGGAAATTAGTAAAACATAATTAAAGCTCACAATATATTGGCCTGTAATAGGCACACATTTTTATCTTTAGATATACACAAAAGAATATAACAAGCTGGATTCTACCTGTATTGATACATTAATGTCCCAATAATATCATTTCTTTATAGAACTAATCATATTTAGTAAGATATGCTGTCCTATACTTTTCTCATTTTAACCTTCATATATTTGCTATTCACCAACCTCATTTGTCTGAAAGATTTCACTGCTGCTCATGCCCAGTGCCCCAAATAAATTTGGCATATTTTGATAGACATAGAAAACATTTTGACAGCTTGAGGACATTCAGTAAAACGTAACAGATTATGACAGCTTTGACTCTGCAGTGAACAGAAATGTGGCAGTTTTGTTCCATTGCTAAGAACACAAAGAATTTGAATGCTAAGGTCTATTAGGAGAGTCTACATTATAAAGTTGATGTGTTCATGAAACTGTTACAGAAGGTTGGAGGTGGGTATTCTTTCCAAATTACAGATTAGTCTTGAGTGAACCCAAGTGAAACTGGAAATTCAACCTCAAGTTTTAATTTAATTTTATTTTATGTTAGACATTTCAAAGGCCAGACCACTTATTTTGACATTACCAGTTAGAAAAGCAGGAACTAATGGACCAAAGGGGAGAAAAGAAGGTAATTCTGAGCTTGTGTGAACACAGATGGTTTTTAAAAAAGAAATTGAGCTTTGCAGGTGTACCTTAAAAAAAAAAAAATGAAGTTCATTCATTTTAGTAGATTCAACAGAGAATGGAATAATCCCATGGCAAATGTGCAGCCAGCACTAAAAGTTAGACCTTTGAGCCAACATGATTTCTAGACATAGTATGGACACCTAGAGAAGAATGATGCACTAGATGATTTTAATGGTATCCAGTCCATCTGTCATGAGTGTTAGGCCTAGAGGCCACAGTATAGATTTCTGTAAAATGATAAAATGCCCTCAGCAGCATTCCTGCAACTTTGAACTCTAAAGGCAGTGATTTGTGGTCCAATCACTAAGGACATGCTCTTAGAAATGTCAAGATTCTGGCATCAGATTCCTTTATATCTTCAGGTTTTTTTTCTTACACAGATTGTTTAAGGCTGAAGAGTTGTTAGATATTAGGTGAAGTCCATCTCCTTAAACAGCAGTGGCAATTCTTACATGAAAAATACAGGCAGTTGTGTCTTTGAATTATGCAGGAAATGTTTTACATGTATTTCCAAATGAAATATCACATACCACATTAATCACAGTAGTAACATTTAAGAATAACACAAGTAGTGCTTATGTTCATTGTGCAGTGGTATAAATGGATCAAAATCATGCAGTATTTCATAGCTAGGAGTCAGATTTCCCGAGTTTAAATTCCAGTTTTCCCACTTACAATATGACTGTGCACATACTTGATCTCTGGGCCTCAGTTTTCTTTATTTCTATTATGAGGATAACAGGGTTTTCATGAGGATTAAAGGGGGCACTATCTGGAAAGCACTTAAAGTGTTTGCCACACTAAGTGCTCAGTTAACACTAGATATTACTCATTTAGTAAGTAAAAGTTAAACCATGTGACTTCTGACAGTGTCTTGATTCTAAATTATACATTTCTTAAAGGAAATTAAGCTTCAAGTAACACTTGCTGTTATACATCTTCATTCCTATTAATTGTGGAAGGAAGTGGTAAGAAAGAGTAAAAAAGCCTAATTGTTCTAGCTCCCATTTCATATTTTCTTAGGCAAAAATTCTAATTGATGTCTTGATTCTTCTCTTTGGAACAAGTAAGTTACCTGGGTAGAAGGACAGAAAAGTAACTTGTGGGTTTCATTTCCTTTAAGTGATGGTGTCAAAAAAGCCATACATCAGCCTGAAGGAAGAGAAACTTGCATTATTCATAGAATCGTAAAATGGTTGTTACTCAAAGTTTCCTGTGGCACTTACAATACTTAGAGAAATGACATGGTCTCTGGATGTTCCTATTATATTGATGTCAACCATATTTTACATTTTCTTCGAAACTCCAAAAGCCAACTATTATACGAGGAAGAGCAGCTGTGGTTGGCTGATATTATAGGAGTGGTGAGAAGTAAAAATTTTGGTCTAAGGAAAATGGAATTTTGGGAAAGCCATGGGGCCTGATATTTACTGAGATTCCTTCTGGGAGTCTGGCTATATAGGTGTCTGAGTATTTCTTCTTTTACATTCTCCATTGCTGACCTTTGTATGTCAACAATGGTTTAACATTAGGCTTTGATGGTAGATTCATTGCTGTCTGTTTGGTTTGAGATAATAGTTTTCCCTATGCTCCTAGGCTCTCTGGGTTAGGTCCTAAACTGCTTTTATCGGCAACTGTGTCTATGTCTTCTCCTGGCACATCTGTTCTGGACTGATTGTAAGCCAAGAGCTGGGGGCTGGACCTACCCTGTCTGCTCCATGCTGTCATTTGCCCAAGCCCTGCTAAATCTTTAGCTTTAACTAGAGCTAGAAGTGAAACCTCATAAGCCACGTGTAAAATGGGAGGCATTTATGCTTAAAGTAGGAAGGGTCAAATAGTGTAGTGTAAGAAAGGCATAGTAAAAATCCTAGCAAGAATGCCCCAGAGACTGTTCCGTGAGAATTCTTAAAACAAATCTATCTTGGAGGTGAATGAAATATAAGCACAATGTGCTTATTCAAACTGAATCTCAAAAGACCAGAGAAGTTCCGTAATCAATTCTGCAAGTTCTAGAATTGTGCTTGAGTAATAAATTACATTTACAGAATTTTGATATTCTTATCCTTGATCATCTTTATAAAATTCCCTAGACACCTGAACAGTAACTTGGGAATTTTAGAAAGCATTTTGCAGTTGGGTTTAGGGGAACTGCTTGCTTGCTTCAAGACAGAGCTAAGGATGCTGATGTCCTGCCAGGCAAGCTAGGCTCAACAGGAACACAGAAAGTCAGATTGTCACTGCCACCCTCCCCCCTTGGCTTTTAAAAAATTTGTCCTTTCTAAACTGTCAAGTTTCTTCCAGATTTATGGATGATGCATCCTTCTCTAGGCCTTCTCATTGCCCACTGTCCCTTCATTACTAAGGTACCTAAATGAACAGGTCTTCCTAGATGTGTCTCATACTCCAAAACTATTCTTACCTCTTGTTTCTTTCCTTTGTACCCAGGCACCACCACCCCAAACACATAAATAAAATTACCTGTTTTTGTTTCATTCCCTTTCCTCAGAACCTTTAGATGGTCTTGTCTCTGATAAAATGAGATGGTCCCTAAAGAGCATTGAAAAAATTTTCTTAGATAAAATTGATAAAGTATAAAGTTGGATATTATGCTATCCAGCAATGATGCATATTGGAAAATCTTTATAGTGTATGCAAACTGTAAAATATATAATTTCTACAACATGACAGAGGTGTTAATTCCTGTTCACATAACATAAAAAGCAGATATTTCTAATTGGCGAGCAGATCTAAGCCGGGATTCAGGTCTCAGGCTGTCTCCACCTCCTGCCTTCTACACAAGTCAATCAGCTGGTAGCAGTGGGGAACACTGGGGAATGTTTTTGTGGACCAGCTCACATCCCATTGGCTATCACTCAGTCATATGGCTACATGTAACTTCAAGTTACTTCAAGTCACATGGCAAGCGGGAATAGCTGTGTGACCCAATAACAATCTCACCCATGATCCTCTTAGAATTTAGTGGTAAGAAACTTCTCTCCTAATGAACCAGCATGCTTCAGTTTGTAAATTATGGAGACCCTTGTGTCCAATTGTGTTTTGTGTTCTGTCTTAGCGGCCAGGAAGTTCAAAGCTAAATTTAGTGTTCAATTGTTACAACTATGCTTAACTTAGGTTATCTGGGACAATTGTCTGCTCTTTTTATTATATGACTCTTGTTCTTGCATCTTTAATAGTCAGTCCTATTGCCTATGTATCTTCTGTTGTAACTGAACTAAAATTCTTTCTGGAAATCAGTGGAGGTAAAAATGATGAATAAAAATTTAATACCTTTCAAGTATAGTAAGATTTTATAAAGCACTTAGGTTGACATCGTGTTATTTGATCCTTTACCAGACTGAAATGTAGGCACAGCCTGCATTTTTACTT